ACAGCCACGTCTCTCGCTCAAGCCACAGGCACGTCTCTTGCTCAAGCCACAGCCACGCCTCTCGCTCAAGCTCAAGCCACACCTCTCGCTCAAGCCACAGCCACGTCTCTCGCTCAAGTCATGCCTCTAGCCACGTCCCTGGCTCACGTCATGCCTCTAGCCACATCCCTGGCTCACGTCAGGCCTCTAGCCACGTCCCTGGCTCACGTCATGCCTCTAGCCACGTCCCTGGCTCACATCATGCCTCTAGCCACGTCCTTGGCTCACGTCATGCCTCTAGACACGTCCCTGGCTCACGTCATGCCTCTAGCCACGTCCCTCGCTCAGGCCATGTATCTAGGCCGAGCCACACCCCTGAGCCCTGTTCCGGCCATGCCCCTGAGCCCTGTCTGTTTCGCTGGGGACGCCGCTCAGCCTCACCTCTCAGCTGAGGACGTTGCACCGCTTCCAAGCACCATGGAGAACGTTGCTCATCCTGTCTGCCCAGCTGTAGACCTTGCTCGGCTTCCCTGCTCCGCCAAGAACAGCGTGCGGTTTCCTGTTGCTGTAGGGTACATTCAGCCCAGGGGCCCGGAGCCACCAATGAAAGAGTAGGACTCTTGGCACTCCGGGAGCAGTGCCTTTGGGGGGGGGGGTTCTGTCACGATTCCCCCCCGTGCGGCGGCGCCGAGCAGCGAGCATTTTTTTCATGTCCGTTTTATGCCATAGCCTTAGCGTTAGCTTTAGCCAAAGTTAGAATCTAGTTTAGCTTAGTTGTAGAGAGAGCTTTGTTTCTGTTTCTGTTTTTGTTTGTTTCATCACATGTAAATAAACCTCCCCATTTGTACTGCGAATGTATCCTGCCTGCTTCCCGTGACAATCACCAAGCCGCCACCACCATGCTTGGCTGGGGACAGAGTGTTCTTTCTTCATTGTTCTTCCTCCAGACATACCACTGATCCATCCTGCTGAAAAGTTCCAGTTTTGTTTCAGCACTCCACAGAACAGAATCCCAAAACTTCCTTGGCTTATTTATATGATTTTGAGCTGACTTTTCTTGTGCTTTTGGGTCAGTAGTGGTAAACGTACTGGAGTTCTGGCATGGAAACCTTCTGCGTTTAGTACACGCGTTAGTACTGTGTACATGCCTTTGGTACTGTGCTCACTGAAACCTGTTGCCACCAAGTCTTGCTGCAGGTCTTTTGCAGTCCCTCAAGGTTTTTCACAACCTGACTTCTCAGAAATCTGGTTGCAGCCGTTGATCCTTTTCTGACCCATGCAGGTATTTCATTAATTTTGTTTCATCAATGTGTTCCAGCTCAAGCACACCTGGTGCAATGAATGAAGCTCTTGATTGTGTGTGTGTGCTTGAGATAATCCCTGCTTTGCATATTTGTGCTGTTGTGAGAGATTCTATTCAGGGGGTTGAATAATTTTGAGACTGGAGTCTCAAAAGTCATTATAAGTTGCATTATCAGTTGAATTTGGGGAAAACACTTGAAGCATTCAATGTGTTGAAATATTTCAATTGCTTTTGTTTGATTTGCTCATCGTAAACTTGACAATAAACCTGGATTGGAGGATGAAATTTTTTTATTGCAACTGTAAATGTCCATGTTATCTCAGAAACCTAGTAGATAAGACTAAGGACAGTTGAAACAGTAACCACACTGCTGTTGCATGCAGCATGTACAGTACAGCAGCATGTAGAAAATATCAGAATCGGTGTGCAATAGGACAGTGAGCAAGGCTGAATTAGCACCAGCAGAGTGTGCCATCCTTGTGAGTTTCTAGCTAGGAGACCAAGGCATTTTCATCACTAAGGGTTCTTCATGAACTAGCAAAGCTCTTACAGTATCACAGAGAAATCCATCACCACTCTAACCAGGATAAAGGCCTTACAGAATTCAAATTAATTCTATGGACTGTTCCCCGAAGGGTAAAACAGATACAGTGGTGTTTTGTTGATTGTTACAATTATTATACAAATAAAATTGAACTGAATAAAATTGAAACATTTGCAGAACATTTTATTTGTTCCTAGTGTAAAATGATTAGTCACATAAATCAGCGTCTGTCATGTTATGGGAGTGTGTTGGTGCCCATGGCATGGGTAACTTGCACATCTGTGCAAGGGCAGCATTAATGCAGAATGATATGCACCCTTTTTGGAGCAACGTATGCTGTCATCCAGAGTAGGACAACGCCAAACCACATTCTGCCCGGATTACAAGCAAATGTTTGCGTAAGTCAGGGTGCGAGCATGGCCTGCCTGCAGACTTGACCTGTCTCCCATTGAGAATGTGTGTTATACAACCTGGAACCTGGAGCCTATCTCAGGGAGCATGGGTCACAAGGTGGGGTACACCCTGGACAGGGTGCCAATCAATCGCAGGGAACAATCTCATACACATTCATGCACCCATTCATACACTACAGAGACTTTGGACCTGCCAATCAGCCTACCATGCATGTCTTTAGACTAGAGGAGGAAACTGGAGTACCCAGAGGAAACCTCCGCAGCATGGGGAGAATTTGCAAACTCCACACACACAGGGCCGCAGTGGGATTCGAACCCCCAACCCTGGCACTGTAAGGCAAACGTGCTAGAAGACAATGTTGTATATGAAAAACACAAAAAATAAACACGAGGGAGACCAAGGATGAGTACTAAGAAACTTTTTTGGGAATTCACTGGATTCTATATCTGAGAGCTTGGGGAACCCCACATCTCCAGAGGGGGTGCGAAGAACTTCGAGGAGCATAGTGATGTCACCAGTGAAATGCGCAAGCTGATAAGTGTTCAGATCCAAATCCAGCCCCTCCAGTAGAGGAGATAAGGAAAAGTGACGGTCACCTAGGACACAGAGAAGAGAATGAAATGTATTAGGTGGTGATATTGATGAGTTGGACTCACACTTTAAGATTAAGATTAACTTTAAGATTAATTTATTAGTCACAATGAAACCTAGGAAGTGGGGAACACATACACAGGCACGTGCAGACACACACACACACACACACACACACACACACACACACACACATATACACAGAGAGAGGAATGCAAACACACACACACACACACAGAGGACTGCGTGTGTGTGTAAAGGGAGTAAGGGGGGTAAACTATTTGCAAGCATACAAACATACAAAATGTAAAAAAAAACCAACAAAACTACACAAGTTATTTTTAATATATTTTGAAACTGATAGTGAGAAGGTATAAATGGATCCTCTGCTCATGAAGAACCAGATCAGATCTGAAGGTTATTAAAAAAAAAAAAAAAAAAAAAAAAAAAAAAAAAAAAAAAAAAGTAAGTATTGAGTTATTTATATAATGATGTGTGTGGTAAGTATACAAAGGGCGAACCAAACAGAAAAAAAAAAAAGGGGGGAAAATTCATATTTTGGAATGGCCAAGTCAGAGTCCTGTCCTTAACCAATAAGATGCTGTGGCATGATCTGAAGATGGCTTTTCAATCAAGATCGCCCAAAAATACTGATGAACTGACACAGGTATGTGTGGGAGGAACGGTTCAAAAGCCTTCCACATCATTGTGCCAGTCTTACAAGCAGCTACAGGAAACATTTGATGGAGGTTGTTGCTGTTACTAGAAGATCTACAAGTTACTATATTGAAAGGTTCACTTATTTTTCCAGTGTGCATGTGAATGATTATTCAATCTGCTCAATAAGGACTTGAAAAGTTCAACTGTTTGTGTGTAATTAGTTTAGTCAGATAGAGTTTGTCTATAAACTCTGCATACATGCAGATCAGACCACTTTTTATGAATAAACAATGCAAAAGTTTTAGTAACTTTTAACTTTAAGATAAAAAAAACTGGTACAATAGTAAAAGAAGGATGGACTACAAAACACATAGACCTCTACTTTTATGCCAGTATATGCATAACTTAATGTTTATTTCTAGTGTTGCTATACTATATCACCAAAAGTATATGCACCCTGACCATCAGACCATTATATGGCTCTTCCCACACTTGTGTAGAATGTCTCTGTATGCTGTAGCATAATCACTATAAGGCCCAATCACTGTTCCAGCATGACAATGCCCCTGTGCACAAAGCGAACTCCATGAAGATGTGGTTGGTTAAGGTTGGAAGAAGGTGGAAGAACTCAAGTATCCCAGAGCCCTGACCTCAACCCCACAGAACACCTTTGGGGAAGGCTTTCCACTTGATTTTGGGGCATGGCTGTTGGGATTTTTGTTCATTCAGCTACAAGAGCATTAGTGAGCTTGAGGTTGATTGGGTGAGGAGGCTCCAATTCAAGTTCATCCCTTCCCAGAAGAGTAAACATTATTATAACCAGAATGGGAACAACAACAAGGGAAATAAATCTGGAATGGGATGTTCGACAAGCACGTATGGGTGTGATGGTCGGGGGTGCACTTAGTTTTGGCACTATAGAGCATTTCGGTTATATGTAAACTTTTTTGTTCACAATATTTTTTCTTTCTGCCTGCTATGAATTTCTTGTTAGTGATGTTGATACATCTGGAGTCTGTTATAGCATTAAAGATTGTGTGAACTTAATATGGACTTTTTGTCCATGTACAGCATCTATGAATGATTAATGGTAAAATATGAGGTAAAATAATGAAATATGCAGGTGTATAATGAAATAATGAAATATAATTGTGTAGTTATATTTCAATTTTAGACCTTACTAGATAAACAGTCACATCAACAAAAAAATATTTTTAAATTTAAAAATACTAAATTTAATTGTATGTTACAAAAAAACCCTAAATGTAATAATAAAAAAAATAGAGGCAACCCTACCTGAAGCAAACTGATCAGAAACGAAGCATAACATTGTTGATATACATGATATGTTGATGATGTTGTTGCTAGTATTAGGGGTCACCACAGTGAATCATGTGATTTGCATGTTTTTTATTTGGTTTTACGCCGGATGCTCTTCCTGACACAACCCTCCCATTTTATCTGGGCTTAGGACTAGCACTTAGAGTTAACCTCCAGAGGTTGGGTTGGTTCGCTGTCTGGGAATCAAACCCAGGCAGCAGTGGTGAGAGCATGGGATCCTAGCTGCTAGACCACCAAAGAACATACATCATATGTTGATGTACTGACAGGTGCGAACTGGCCATTGGGAAGTTTGGGAATTTTCTCAGTGTGCCAGTCTTGTGAGGGCTGGTCTTTTTTTTCCAACCCTAGCATTATATAGCCTATATACAGATATTATATAAGTCATCTTAGCTGCAGTGACACGGCAAAGCTGGTTGTACAATAAGTAATAGCAGGTAGCAGTTGCCATCAGAACTGAAAGTACCTAGCACTTAGGCAGCTAGTATCTAGCACTTGTTGAAAGTATCTAGCACCTGTTGCCAAAATATGGATATAATTTGAGAACCTGTAGCAAAGTGTACTAAAACAAGGGATTTATTTAAATAGTCTGCAGATGGTGATGAGAACAGTGGCGAAGAGGCAGAAACATCGTGGAGTGAGCAAGGAGCAGGTGTTTTGTCATGCTTATATGCTATTTGCTTTAAACTAGCTAAATTAACTAACTAAAGACCAAAATGTTTTTGTTAACCTTGGGGTTTTAGTGCTTATGCTAGAGTCCTGCAGCGCTGCAGGTTTGACCATTTCCAAGCTTTAACTAGTCAGACTCACAAATGTTTAGGGAAGTTTATGATAAATCTGTGTTAAAAAATAGTCATCAATTTCGACTGTAAATAGGTAAAATAAACATGTAAATTTGAACATTTTCTTGACATTTCTTCTATTTTTTGCATTATAGCCAATAAAGCACATAATATTCGATAGCCAGCCCAGCAATTAAAAATGATTTGTTAAAAACACTACAATCTAAACAAACAGGTGAACAAGAATGGGAAAGGATGAAGGAGGAGGAGGAGGGAGCAGGAACCAGCACAGATCCAGAGGTACACTACTGAATGTTATTGTGTGACTGCCATCATTCATAAGATCGGGTTGGACTTCAAGTTATTTATTGTTGCATTACAAAAAATAGAATGAATGGAAAGTGTGTTGTGTAATAAACCACATATATATTTCCCTATGCCAAGGTTGGACTATTCTTCATGAATTTAATACAACAATATTTGATTCTCATGGCAGACAGCCCAATGATGCATTTTTAACAAACAGGTAAACCTGAGTCAGACAGGGAAAGTTCCCTTTCAAAGGGAACTTCAACACTGCGTTTAGCATAACACTATGGGAACGCCTTTCGCATGCGGCCGACATCTGAAGTTTGTGTAAAATCTATTTATAGGCCTGCCATGATCAGGTGACGTGGCAATTAAGCAGGTTGCGTGATATAAATATGGCACCTGTCAAACGCACAATCAGCCTTTACTATCTTCAGCGAAAGACTGCATGTCAGTTGTTTGTGTAAAGAAACAAAAAGACACTTAATTTCCTCGCTATCTTTTCTCAAAATCTCAGAACTTTTTCTATCCCTTTAAAAAAAAAGAAAAAAAAGGAATGAGCGAGAGAGAAAAATATAAGAATTCAGGAAGTGTGTTACGGCTTGCTCCCATCACATCACAGGGAATAGTGCAGACTTTTTGGGTGAAGTGTCTAAGGGTATAGCATGCATTGTAATGCTTGTGTTAAGCAGCTCGGCTCGCAACTCGCGCTCTTCTCGAAAGCCAAAGCGAGTTGGGTTTCAGAGCCTTGCGGATCAGGGCCGGCCGCTGCCAAGGCAGCTAGCCGTTTCAGGTTGGGGGGATCTCTTATGGATCTAGAAGAGGAGACAGAGACGAGCGCTGCTCTATCTCTTGCTTGGTCCTGAGGGATCATGAAGGGATGTATCAGGGGACATGAGCTTGTTTGGGCAGTTAGCCCCCAGTGCTATTGTAGGGCAACGAAAATCTGATGCTTTCCCTCCAATAGAATGTGGAATAGTTAACATCACTAAAAGACCATCTGGCAGTGTGGAAACTACTTTCAAATGTGTCTCCTTGGGTTCTGTCTACCGTAGAAAAGGGTTACCGGGTCCAGTTTATAGCTCGACCCCTCCGGTTCAGAGGTGTGCTCACCACGGTAGTCAGCACGGAGCAGATCCCAACATTAGTGCAGGAAGTAAGATCCCTCTTGGACAAAGGGGCCATAGAACATGTACCCCGTTTACTGAGGGAGGGAGGTGTTTACAGCCGTTATTTCCTGGTCCGCCAAAAATAGGAGTATGCGGCCAATTTTAGATCTGTCATCTGACCTTTACTCTTCGGACATACAGGTTCAAGATGCTGACGCCCAAACTTATCGTTCCACAGATTCAGTTTGAGGACTGGTTTGCGGTGATAGATCTAAAAGGTGCAAATTTCCACATATAAATATCACTAGCTTTATCCCCTCGCACCTTCATAAAGTGCATGGAGGGTCACTCTGGCTCCATTGTGAGTCCAGGGCATCCATTTACTAAACTACCTGGACAACTGGTAATTTCTAGCACGATCCAGGGAACTGGCGGTTCAACATCGAGATGTTGTTCTCGCCCACATGAAGAGCTTGGGGCTCAGGTTGAACCTCAGAAAAGTATGCTTTCAGCAGTGCAGTGGACAACATTTCTAGGGATTATAAGGATTTACTACAATGAGGGTGTTTCTATCCCCAACATGCATAGGGTCAATCGCATGTAACCCTGTTCCCTGAGAAGGGAGCGAGACGGTTCACAGGTGCCATATTTACATCACGCGATGCGCTTAATTGTCATGTCCCCTGATCATGGCAGACCTATAAATATGCATGATTTTACACAAGCTTCATATGATGGTCTTTGCTTTCTGTACACACAAACATGGAGAGGAAAACATTTAGAAAAAAATTGTTAATCATCTTACATATTATCTTAACACAAACAATACAAATCGGAATGCTGAGACTTCAAATCTGCCAACCTCCCACTTTTGGGTCCTTGAGCAAGGTCTTTAACCCTCAACTGCTCAGTTGTATAAATGAGATAAATGTAAGTCACTCTGGATAAGGACATCTGCCAAATACTGTACATTTAAATGTAAATGATAGAGAAACATGTTATGTCAGTTCAAAAGTGGTGTATCAAATTGGGGCAGCTTTTGTTGCCAGTCCTCCCTTGTGCACTGATGTTAATTATGCAAAGATTAAACGTTGCACTCGGCAAACCAAAACCAATATATAGATTTTATAATTTTAATAAGTTTTCATTCATTTTTCTTCTTGAACCAATCGTTTACAATTCGATCTACAGCTTTGCCTGGTATTGTTCTTTCTGCCTCTACTTTTGCACAGCCCTCCTCAAATCCTGCTTCTTTTGCCTCTTTAACTTTTTCGTCAAGTTGAGCAGTAAATTCTTGCTCTGCCTGTCTCCTGGCCGCTTGTTCTGTCTGTATCTTCAGGTTCTCCAGCTGATTCTTGTGCTGCTCTTTAATGAAGGCAAGATTTTTCTCCTTCTCCTCATTGTGTTTTCTCTCTTCCTCTTCTTTCTCCTTTCTGAACTCTTCCTGTTGTTTCTGTAGTTTCTCTTCCATTTCCTTTTTGTGTTTTTCATCTTTTTCCTTTCTTTCTCTCTCATCTTTTTCTCTTTGTACCTTTAGTTGTTCTTCCATCTTTCTTATCTTTTCATTTAAATCATTTTCTATTTTCTTTTCTTGTTCTTCTTTTTCTTTCCTCTCCCTTTCTTTTAAATCTCTCTCCTTCTTTTCTTTCTGTTTTTCCCACTCATATTGCTTCTCTTTCCTAATCTGATCTAAACTCCACTTTTCCTCCATAGTAGCAATTCTTTTCTCCCAGTTATTCTGCTGGTGTTTTCTCTTCTCCTCCTCTTTCTTCATCCTTCGTTCCCACTCTTGTTCTTGGGATAACTGAAGATCTTGCAGTTCCTTCTTGTTACTTTCCTCTGCATCCTTTATTTTCTCCTCTAAATCTTTTCTTCTCCTGTCTTCTTCTGCTGCCTTCTGTTCATACTCTTTTTGTAGTTTCTTTAATTCTTTTTCTTTGTTATTTTCCATTTCTTCTTTTTCTCTTTTAAACTTCTCATTTTCCTCTCTCTGTTTCTCCTTCCATTCTTGTTCTCTCCTCCTTCTTTCTTCCTCCTCCTGATCTCTCCGTTTCTGATCTTCCTCTCTTTGTCTCTCCCACTGTTTCCTGTTCTCCTCTCTCTCTCTGTTTATTTCTTGCATCTGTTCCTTCATCTTCAAGTCATCTTCTTCTTTTCTCTTCCTGAAGTCTTCTCTTACCTGTTGTTCCCTTTCAGACATTTCTCTTTTTATTTTCTCTTCTTTCTCTTTAAATTCTTCTTCTTTTCTTTTCCCTTCTGCTTCTTGTCTTTCTGTTTGTTTCTGTATCTCTGTCTTCATTTCCTCCATTTGTGCTTCATATTTGGTCTTCAGATCTTCTTTCTCTCTCTCTATCTGCTCCTCTCTCTCCTTCAGTATTCTCTCCTTTTCTTCTTCTAGAGCTTCCTCCACCTGCTGGAACATCTCATTGGTGTAGCAGCTTCCTCCGTTCACCTTCACCATCGAGTCAATTTTATCCAGAAGACTCAGGACCTGGGTGTTGCTGGATTTATTGTTGTTGTCGAAAACATGGTATCTGTTATCACAGTCTGATAAAAGCCTCTTTAACCATGGCCCAGCTTTTTCTATGTACTCTTCAATGTTCCGTCCTTTTAGCAGATCACCTCCAGTGATGAGCACGATAGTGTAAATGTTAGATTTCGGCCCAAAAGTCTTTTCAATAATATTCACCGTATCTCTCTCCTCTTGTGTGAAGCGATGTCCTATTTTCAGCACCAGGAGGAACACATGAGGACCAGGTGCTGCCATGGAGATGCATTTAATAATCTCTTTCCTGGTTTCAGCATTATCAGTATTTGTGTCAAACAGTCCTGGAGTGTCGATCACAGTAATCTGTCTCTTATTGACTTCTACTGTCTCTTTCTGACACACGCTGGTCACTGATTCACCATACAGGTCTTCATTAAATACCTCTTTCCCCAGAATGGTGTTTCCTGATGCACTCTTCCCAACTCCTGTCTTCCCCAACAACACAATTCTGAGTGTGTCAGGGTTTATTGACAAATCTGTGTAGAGAAAAGT